CAAAGCTCACACATTATATTTACATGGAGGGGGGTCCTCTCTGTGGAGGCCACCATGTTTTTTACTGTTACTAAAACCTTTTGAGTTTTCATGACAACTGAAGTTCACTACAGGTTCTGTTTCATGTTGGGAAGGGGAGCGTGAGAGGAGTATTCACCTGCAACATGCAACTTCACCTCTAGATGTCACCAAATTCTTCACACTGAACCTTTAAACTAAATAATAATGTGACAAAAATGCTGATAATTATCCAAAATCAATCAACTGAATCTTGTAATCATTTTTAGGTCCTACTGTCCAGCCCAAGGTTTCAAACTCTTGTGATCTAAGTATTATCAACTCAAGCCATTTGTCAACACTGGTACTAACATTAGAATAAAAGGGAGTAAAACTGTAATAGTGATAGTACTTGGTAACTTGCCAAATCTGCTTGTGCTAAACACCATGCTGGTAACATTTTGTGGAAAGTACAAATTTTAGCAGCAGCATCATTAAGCAGCATTAATCCCTGAACAGATGGAGTGTTAGGCCCAAAATAAACCAGCTCTAATGTTTAATCAGGGCACAATGTCTTCAATTGAATCACACTATAGCTGCTTTCAGACCTGTACTGAACTACAGACATTTTCCTGATCTGAGAAATAAAATGTCTGAGTCATTGCTCAGAACATTTGCTGGAACTTTTCCTTCTAGCCCCCTTGTAAATGTCAGAGTGAGCCCGTGTGAGAACACACCATGAAGCGAGTAGGTATGTTTCTAACACACGACGGACAGAAATCTGAAAGAAATGAAAAGAATACAACAATCTCAGGATGAAAAAGACGTGTCATACATGCAGAAGATGCTGACAAAGATGTCAACTTGTTAAGACATTGAGATTCAAGTGCTTTCGATGAGAAGAGATGACACCAGTCTAGATGTGCTTTAAACAAAAACATGTGATTTCTGCAGTGGAATTTATACCTGATATTATGTCCTGGCTCCTTCGTGTTGTACCCAGACACCTCACCTGTATGTTCCAGACATTTACCCTTTGTTGTAAACATGTCTGACTCGGACAATCTCCTGCTGGATTCTTCATATGTGACAGTCAAAATCCAGATAAAAATACAATCTTCGGGACATTTTCTAGAGGTCATGTCTGATAATTATTTTTGAAGTTACTATATTAACAGTTCTTTTATACAGTAGTAGTATAGTATTTATGATAAGAAATTGTTGTTGTCTTGGCAAAGGGTCTAAAAAAAGTATGTCAAAATGTAAATTTGTCTTTCACCTTTGTAATTAATCTACAACCAGTTCTGTTTTTGTTTGTGAGGAAAAAAAAAAAAAGAATTTCAACTATAGTATGTAAGATACATACTGTGCTGTGATTATGAGGCTGTCAGCGTGGTAATCAGCTCACTCTAGCCTGAAAAGTGGATCACATGTAGTGCACACACACACACACACACACACACACACACACACACAGACACAGACACAGACACACACACACACACACACACACACACACACACACTGATGTATTTATCTATGCTGTTGGAGCTTCATGAAGCAGTTTGTAAGATGTTTAATGTCTATAACCGCACAGTCGACAGACACAACCCGGATTAATTACTTGAAACATCATCAAATTGGATTTTATACTTTTATTAATCTGTTTTTTTTATGTCACAGGATTAAAGGAAAGATACATGAGACCAATCTGACGTACGAAGACTTCCCGACATCCAAGTACATGGGGCCCTTACAATACACAATATGGAAATCACTCTTTCAGGACGTTTCACCAGGTACAACACAAGCAGAACAGCTCATGTGGTAACTTGTTTTCGTGAAGAGTGTAATGATTCATATTAAGCTGCATTGACAGTGACCTCCCTGTAATTCAGATTATACAAACAAAATATTGTGCTAACCAGTTTTAGAGTTGCTGGTAGAGGAATTGTGTTACTTTTTGGCAGTCATCTTAGCCCTTTTTATGCTAAGCTAATGGTCTCCTGCTCTGACTGAATGTAGACTGACCTGAAATTGACAAAGATTTGCATTGTGCAATCTCACAGTCAAAGTATGTCTTTTGACAGCCCCCACCTCCTAAATACAATTTGCTGGGGAACCAGCTTAGGCCCACCTACGACAATTGTGATTAGTTTAAAGAAATACAAACAAACCAGAGCATACTTCCCCCCATGCAGAATGATGCAGCCAGGCCATGGTCCAGCCCTGACACAGGCCAGTGGAGATGAGTTTGAGTATGCAAGACTAATGGCTTCCTGACTGGAGCTTTATATTTAATGGACAGATTTGAGAGAGGATTCAATTTTCCTAAATACACTTTCAGTAAGAGAGCACAAATAATGTTTCCAAAATGTAAAACTTCAGCTTTAGGAGAACTAATCCTGCCCTGCATTAATATTGCTAGGATGTTTTTTAACTTCTCTCCATCCTTGGATGAGAAATGGTGGTCAGACCTGGAAGGCAGCGACGCGCTTCTTCAGCAGACAGTGCCGAGAGGAGCTCTACTCCCTCTGCCCTACAGCTATCACTTTCTCACAGGAGATTGTTCATAATAATGTGCTGAAGAATTTTTTTTTTTTACTACTTCAGTCAATCCTCCCATTTCAGCTCGCTGCCAGCGGAGGGGAGGCAAGACAGCTTTTTGGCCTCCCCTCGAGCGGCTGCCAAACGGAACAATTGGTTACAATCCATCACCAGCGGTTGCCAGAGACACAACAAAGACATTCCTCCCATCATCGCTCAGCCGTCGCTGTCACCAACGGGTTAGTGGGAATAACTACCAGACAGTGTGGGTTCCCTTTCATGTCCAGCAGGAAGAAGGGCCTCTCCACTGATGTGTGTATAGTGGCATGTTTTCTGCATGGCGGCTGCAAGGAGGCTTTCAGCTTATGAAATTTTAATGGTTTGATTGTAACAAACACTGGAGATGTCATTGAGTGGAGAAGGCATTGTCCTGTCCGCTGGCCGAGCGCCAGACGTTTCACCTCCATGTATCCCACCTAATACAAAATACAGAGGAACTGGAAAGGTGCCTTTATCCACTATTTTTAGCCGTTATTGTTCAGCCTGGTATGGTTGTCTTATACCGAATGCTTACAGCAGATGTGGATGCAGATTCTCCCTCCCTAAAACAACATAAATGCACCAAAAAACAGCCTCCTACCGACCTGGAGTCTGCAGCGAGCTGCAGCGTCTCCTCCCCTCAATGTAGTTACTGCCTTACTGTATTGTTTGCACTCCTCACATCATTTGATAGTGCTCAACCCGAGCTACCCTATAAAACTCAGGAGAGCACTTGACTGTAAAAGAATGTAGTTTATGCATGAAGGTAAAAAGAGATTATTAAAAATGCATCATGGTGTACTCACTTGTTGCATTACGCCTTGTTTCCTTTTCCTGAAATGAGAGTCAAGCTGCAGTTGGGTGTGTCGGACAATAACAAGCCATCAGTCATCGTGAACCACAGGGCATCGCTTTGATCACCTCTTCTAACTCACGCAGTTGTGATATATATACTGAAATGTGTCCACCAGGTTGTTGCTCTTATAAGGTTCAGCCAAATTATAAAAACGCTTCTCACTTACTGTAGAGGCATTTTCACATGGAGATGGTTTTTGTCTAATTGTACAAAATATTGCGGATAGGAACGCTGCTATCCCGCACCCAGTCGTTGTTTGGAATCAGTCTGCACAGTAGAGGAGAGGTTTGTTGAAACACGATGGACCAAACATGAGTCACTTTCAGCTGTCAATCATGATGTTTCACCCTGTTATTATAGCATCATATAAGTAAACAAAAACAAAACTTGAACCTAAAATGACAGAAAACATCTTTGGGAAGAATGTATTTAATGTGCATTTTGAAAAAAGATTTTAGTCCATGTCCAATCCACTAACATTGAGGGGTTTGCTTTTATGCCAATACTACAGCCAGTCACCAGGGGGCAGTCAAGACTGTATACAGTCTATGGTCCAATGTGTGAATAAAGGAATTAAGTGGACTACTGACCAACAACTAAAAAAAAGAAAACGCATTCCATTATCATTGTCTTTCTACTCATCTAGACCTGGGAGTTGTGACACATGGACACATACACACCTCCTTTGTGTTACTGGTAATAAAACCTGACTTGACTTGAACCTTCTATGGGTCTGTCAGCTGCTCAGATTCTCAGGAGCTGAGTATTTTGTCATTTCCATAGTTTTCATTTATTGATTTTATTTCTCACCGTGGTGAAATATTTTACAAAATATATAATGAAACCAAACAGCTTATTGTAATGAATCATTGTAGATGCCAGTGATAATTTTACAACAAACAACCGTGAGGGATTTGAGCAGCTACCCATGGAGATTATGCTCAACTACTTGCAGCAGGTAACACAAATGGAACACACAAAAAACACACACGGTATCTTTTTGATACTCAGATCAATAAACTAAATTAAAAGGAAACTGCTCTGCGGCAAAAATGTCTTTTCTTAGTTCCCTTTAGGATGGAGGGGCTTCAAAGAAAATGTCATTCTCAGTACTTACTTGTATTAACATATACACTTCAGTGTATACATTCAGACAGTGTCCTTTGTTTTTATCAGCTTCCTGTGATTTATAACCTTGACCTCACTTCTGCTGTGAAGTGGCAGAGCTGCCAGGATGTATTTACACACTGTCTCAGCACAAAACCGTACACGGCAACTATAAATCAAATTGAGGGGCTGAGAATGACGCTGCAGTCCTCTGTTTTCTGTTTGTCCAAGCTGATTGATTGAGTTTTTTTCCACTTGTATCCACATGTCCTGTTTATCTCAGCCGATTTTTGTCTCCCCCCAGCGTTAAATGTAAAAGTAAATGCTGAGTCTCAGAGCTAAAGCTGTCTCTTCCCTCATCTCCCTTTTCTCGCCTTCCTCAGTGCCAGCAGCGTTGACCCTCGATCACATCACAGCCCACCAAAGACTGATCCTCTCAGATGACTGTACCATCGTGGCCTACGGGAATCTCCATCCGCAACCACTGCAGGACTCCCCGCGCCGCTTTGATGTGGAGGTGTCTGTTCTGGGCGCTGAGGGCTTTGCCTCAGGTGTCCATTACTGGGAAGTGATGGTGTCGGAGAAGACCCAGTGGATGATCGGGGTGGCCAACGAGACGGTCAGTCGCAAGGGCAGCATCCAGATCCAGCCCAGCCGTGGCTTCTACTGCATCGTCATGCACGACGGGAACCAGTACAGTGCCTGCACCGAGCCCTGGACCCGCCTCAACGTCAAGAGCAAGCTGGAGAAGGTGGGCGTGTACTTGGACTACCCGAAAGGCCTGCTCATCTTTTACAATGCAGACGACATGTCCTGGCTCTACACCTACCGAGAGAAATTCCCCACCAAGGTCTTCCCCTATTTCAGCCCCGGCCAAAGCCACGCTAACGGCAAGAACGTGCAACCGTTGCGAATCAACACTGTGCGCCTTTAAGAGCGACACACATCTATAGTCGTGATTGTCCTGACAGATGTTTCAGTCCTGAATTTGCAGGACTTGTGTAGGAAAGAAGTTTAAGAAGTGTTTAATAGGGTGTTTGAAATGTTTATTCCTTTAAGTTCTGTGTAAGAATTGTGCTTGATGTTGCTCTTTAAATGCTTCTTCACGCTGTTATTTTTTTGTGACTTGAAACGACTGTACGGTAAAGGCCTGCATTTGAGCCTCATTCCACATCTTTCTTTAAAATGGTGACACAAAATGGAGAGAGAAAGGGGCCCCTGGGCTTGGGGTCTGTGGCAGCGTCTTAAAAACAAGTGATTCCCACTCTCATGGTGACTGTCCCAGGCCCAACTTGCACACTCCCAGGGGGCACCACTCCCCTTATCAACCTCCAGGCTCGTCAGAGTTGAAGTCCCCTCTCTGTCCAGGCACTCGTCTTGTCTGTGCTGTACAGTTGGCTTTGCTTTGTTTGTGGAATGTGATTGACAGTAGTCCGCTCTTTTTTCGGCTTTTGTTTGGTGTTCACCCTGAACTTGTCAAGTCTGTCTGCACTTTTTACTTCAATCTGAGATGATGATCTATGATGCATTCACGTGTCTGTTCAGTCACCATCATTACAAGGAAAGCTCCCATTCTATGTGCACCAGCGACTCTCCACATCCTCTAAAACAATGAATGATACAGTAGTTCATAGGCTGCCCACCCCTAACCCTGTCCCAGTCTTACCCACACGCGATAGGAAGGTCCGTTTGGAGGTGGAGGTTGTTCAGAAATGTGCTGCTATTGATTAAATACTTAAATATTTGTACATAGTGTAACAGTGGTGAAAACGAATGTCTGTCTTCATGCTGGCTCATGTTTAAGTTTCCCCTCTTTGCCCAAAACCCACATTCTATGCTGACACTTAACCTTTGAGGGTTCGGTTCACTTAAATATTAAATTGAAGCAAATTTCTGCAACAAGTCATGATGTTTGATCAATTTATCTTTGAATCAAAAGAATACTAAATACTCATTGTCTGGGTATTTGAGGCAGGGACCCTTGGTTGTAAGAATCTCAAACGCTAAAGATCAAATGTTGCTAAAAATGCTGCAGAGAGCAAGTGTTCACAATTATTTCAAAGCAAATCCTTTATTTTAATGTCGTCAGGCTGTATGATTCAGGATGTGGTTTTAAATATGGTTTGATGGACGCAGTGACGGTTGGATGGATGGATAGATGGATGGATGGATGGATGGATGGATGGTTGGTTGGTTGGTTGGTTGATTGATTGATTGACTTTAGCTGCTGCTCCGTTATATAATGATCAAATCACTAATATTTCCTCTGCAGCTCAGTCTTGTTTACACCCCCCCCCCCCCTGTCCTCTTGTTTATCATCAGTTGTAAACAAGTCCTGCAGAATCTGCTCTAAGAGGCTCCTGTCCCTCAGCCAAATCCAGCATCCTCAGAGATGTGTGTGTGTGTGTGTCTGTGGATGGGCGTGTGCACAGTGTGTTTGAGTTGCCTTCGACTGTAATTTTTAAATCCCTCAGCATATACTCATGCTGTGGCCAAAAATATGTATGAAATGTTGAAATCAGATTGGATATAACACATTTTTCTCAACGAACGTGGGGATCACCTCACCTTTGCCACTGTACATCTTTGCATTATGTGTATGTATAGTCTGTGTCGTCCATTTAAAAGAAAAATTGGGCAGTGCCCTTGTTTCTGTTGGATCTTATTCCAGTATGTGCAGTATGATGCAAACTGGGGTCAAACTGTGAGCATGTGCAAATGATTTCAGGTGTTTGCTTTAACTTGCACAGATCTGCAAGGGCCCTTGTGTTGCTTCGAAAATGAGTAACATGATGAGTAAAACTGGTGAGTTAGTTTTACTGGAAATTACTCAGCAAATCTGTCCATTTAGGTTGGTGAGGATTTATTTATGAATGTTTGGTTTAGACAATCAGGACAGTGTCCTGTTATTGTATCTTTGATCTGTCCTTATCTAAAACGTGGTACAAAGTCAATTTCAACCAGCTGGGCTCATGCAGGTTAGAACACATGTTTGAATTTGACCCCAGTTTTCTGTGTTGCAGACCTCAGTGTGGTCGGCTTCATTAAGATTTTATGTTTTACTATCAAGAAGGAGATTATCGTGAGATGGTGTTGGGATACTGGTGGTCCAGGTGGTTAAAATAATTTGGATGATGGTAATTATTAATGATTGAAATGATGATTGTGTCTTTTGATGATGGCCGCTGTGCACCCATCATCGTGTGAACACACTCTGGTGTGCTTCTGCTGCTGGAGGTTTGTGGGAAACGTTTTAATGTACAATAAATTACTGAGAAAATCAGGCATTCTCTTTAACTTCTGTCCTGGTTTAGATGTGCAGCAACGTTGTGTATCATCAATAAATGAAAACATTTCAGCTCTCCCAATTCCCATACAGATTACTGATCCAACATCAGTGCATTCTTTTTGTGAAATCTGTGCACTCTTCTGTGTGGAACTTACTGGAATAGTATTGTGGCTCTAAAAACGACATTAGTTGTAGCCATAGACTGTATATAAAACATGGACATGGCTGCTGTATAACTCATAAACCAAACTAAAGACATGTTAAACAGATTTTTGCGTCATCCATCTACTGCCAGTGATTTTAACTGATAATGGAAAAATCAAATTTATAGTGACATTGACAAAGAAACTGTATTTAATTTTAAATGTGGAAGTCTCACCTGATACCAGATCAATACGAGATACCTAGATGACATCTAGAGATCAGAAGAAAAGTTTATCTGTCTCTCATATAATACTAGATGGTTTCACATCTTCAAGCTTAAAACATTTTCCAAACATAGAGGTTGAGCTGAATGCTAGCACCAGCAGGACAAATCCTAACAATGGAGACATGTATCAGATCTTAAGTTAGCATATTAGCATGCTAATAGTTGCTAATTGATTAGCACTAAAGACAAAGAAGCCACCGGTAGCAGAGTGTTAACCTGCAGAAATGTTAACTGGTAAGAAGTTACCTTTGACCGCTTCACTTCCGCCTGATCACCGGTCACCACAGTGAACCAGCTAGAACTGAAAATGGATCACTTCATGACAAAACTAGCTTGTGTTGAATATGTTTGATAGCAACAAGCTAGCTCAGCAGGTTGATGCGGAGGAAATACGTCGACAGCTGCAGGAGAACAGATGCTGCCGCAATTCACAGAAACGTTATCACAAACTTTAACACAGATGACATGGAGGCTGTAACTGACGTGAGTGACTGTAATTAAAGTATATGTGTTTAATCATGGGTGACGGGTCAGGTCTACCCACCATTATCTCCAAAATCTTGACCATGTGACCCGCGACAGGTCAAGATTTTGGATATAATGGTGGGTAACAGGTACCGAGCTCTGCTTTTCAGAATGGAGGTATAGGAGTCTGGCTGAGGCTGGTAGGAATAGAAAATGCTTTCATTAGCAGACATTAGCAGGTATAAAATCAATCCACTACAAAGCTAAAACCAACCAAAGGTAGGAATCCATCTTTGTTTCAAACTCCTCAATATTAAACCTTTGACACTGAGTCTTGAATTAAATATCTTCATTTTATCTCAGATATCTAATTCATGTTTTAGTTGAGATGTTCCAAACTCAGCTCTGCAAATCCCTCCACCAGGGAAGTGGGAGGTTTTGCACTGTCTTTTGTTACTTCTCCTTTTTTTTGGCAGAAGCCGAGGCCCTGGCGTGTGACATGATGAATAAGAAAGATGTCTGCTGGTGTTCACTGTCCCCTCACTGCGGGTGAGTCACAGACATCCTCTTCATTTGCCATCTGTGGCACGTCTGAATAACCTGCCGTGGAGGAGAAATTGTCGTTTGACATCTAAAGTGAACATCTGAGTCATACTCTTGTGTTTCTGTGTGTGTGTGACTTTGTATCTCGCTGCTCTATTATTTCATACTCCAGAGTTATTGAGTCTTGTTGCATCATGATTACAGCTGCTCCATAACAAACTGTGAAGTTTGGAGCTGAGTGCCACATGTATCCACAGCAGACCCTTAGGACAAGTGGCTTCATATTTTCAGCTTTGATTCCAGCTCGCTCCTGCGATAGAGACAGTTTTATCCAAGGAGAAGGTGTCCGTCCTGTAATAGAGAGTCTTACCCGAGGGGAAAGTGTCCATTAAATCGTCACTGAGCGCTCTTTTGAGAGACCCGTATCTGATTCCAGGCTGATGTGGGCCTCCTGAGGCGAGTGGAACGTTTTTAATCTTATAAGTGATGAAAAAAAGTAGAAATGAAGGCTCAGTTATAGAGAAGATCTGCAGCTTTAATGCTGGTATAGCATGAAGCGATCTACCATCCCGTTATATTGTACATGTTTTATAATAGGTTAAATATGACTTATGGAACATTATTGTACAATACAATAATGTGTTTTAGTCCACCTCAGTGCTGAAATCACTAATCCATTAATCTACCGCCCTACAGTTTAACAAAAACACATGATTTCAGTTATCAATTTCGGTTCAGGTCACCAAACAGCTAACAGTGTTACTGCACCATCTGATGCAATATTAGGACAATATTCTACTGCAGGAAGTTTTACTAACAAGACAGACTGATTGTTCAGGGCTTCATTGAGCCAGATAATTACCCCAAACTCTAGACTCATCTGGATGGATCTGATGGATTAGTAACTGTCATGATGATTACATTTTAGATCCCATGATTTAATATGAGTGTGAATGATTTTTTGTCTTTCTACGGTGTGTGATTTGCTGGTGACACACCTCTCACCAGATGTCAGCTGGGTTGTAGATAATGTTATGGATTGACAGATTTATTTATAGATTTATTTCTTTACATTGGCATAATTTATAAGTAAGGGTAGGTAATAATTGTTTTCTCTTTAATTTGGTCTTTGTGTGTGTGTTTGTGTACTCGTTCAACCTTTTTCAGTATAAAAACTGACCAGTGGACCTCATGGGGACCAAAGCCTTGTCCTTTTCTGAGCTCCTGGTTGAGAGGGTCAAGATGTGAACTGTGCTTAGGTTAAGGTTTGGCATGAATGGAATGGAAGTCAAAGCAAAGTCCAAGGGTTGCTGAGCAAAGGCCATTCATTTCAACACCATTAGGAAGAAATGTATTTCAACTTGTATTGGCCTTTTACGTTAACTTTCACAGAGCACAGTTCCTGCTCTGAACCGACATCAATTAATGACTGAGGAAACTTGCAGAAACTGAGATATTTCCTTTTCATGTCATCATGGCCTAATTGCACATAAAGTCCTCAAAGACACAGAAAAGCACAGTGCTCATTAAACTTTGGTCTGTTCACACACTCGTCGGCAGAACATGTCAGGTTACAGTTATGAGGCAATACTTTGGCTATAGATACATCAGTATATGACTTTAGAAGAGGAAGAGGAAAAAAGCATGAAGGCACACGCAGAGGAACGTGTAGTACCTGACAATGTGTGCTGCAGTAGTATTTGTCTGCACAGGTTTCTGCTCTGTGAAAGGGGAGGTGTGCACTGTGCAGGCCTCTGGCTCCATCACAGGTAAGACTGCACTCCTTTGTTTCCTCAATCCCCTTCATCCCTCTCCTGTTACATCCTAAAGCTCGTCTATCACACATTTTGGGAGCCTGGAGGTGCAGAGTGTCAGTCGCTCCAAGCTGTTGTTGAATCGGAGTGCCCTCTGGTGTTGATGTGTGTGTCCCTGCTCACCTCTGGAGTACAACACTTGTCAGCTCAGCCACGTTGAGCACGCGTCAGCAGTGCTGCCAGATTATGACTCATAAATTAGGCTTCCATTTTCAGAGGGACATCTTTATCGCTGATGTCACAGATAATCAGTCATTTATTGAAAATCCTCTTGATGGCTGACATTTCTCTCTTTAGTTCATTAGAGAAACTGTTTGAACACTTACCCTCTGGAAAATGGCAGAAGAGCCACTGGGACAAATGTGTTCATATACAGATTATTATTATTTACAACTGCAAATTTATGACATAGTCATTTATTATCCAATTATCCAGTGTACGTAAAACCCATCCTTTAAGGGTCGTGCAGGGCCTGGAGACAATCCCTGCTGACTTTGGACGAGAGCCAAGGTACAACATGGACAGGTCAGCAGTCCATCACAGGGTTGACAAATGAAGGTAAACAACCTCTCAGCTATGATCAATTTAGAGTAGGAACTATATCTGTCACATCAACCCTGTCAAGATTAAAACGTTTCTATCTGAAAGTAGTGGAGTAGAAATATTAAGTTGCATAAAATGAAAGTACGATAACAGTGGCTCAAAATTGTACTTGAATAAAAGTATTTAGTTACTTTCCACCTCTGAGGAGTAGCACAGTCCTTTTAAACCAACAGAGAGAAAACTACAAAGAAGGAAAACAACGTGCGGTTCGTCCTCAGATCACTCAGTATTTATTTAAAGGTTTTGTCTTGCAGGGTTTATGCTATGCAGCATCAGCACACCTCAGATCATTACTTTCAAAAACACTGTTGGCCCATGGAATAGTCGTATTCCACTGGAGAGGTTCAGTCTGTAACACACTGGGAGATGAAAAATCATTGCAGATCTCAAGGCTCTGAATAGTAAAAGAAGCCCTTCCAGCCATTTGTTTCAGTCAGGGTTTAGTGTCTCTCTGACAGACACGCCTCAGCCTGCCTTCTCAGCACCTTACAGCACTTTCCACAAATTATTCCTCACGTGAAGAGCTGCTCAGAAATGCTTATTTACACAATATACAAACCAGTGCTGACAGGTAGACCTGCCGTCTACTCGGCACACATGCAATATTAATCTGGTGATTCTGTTGCAAATAGGCTCCAATCGGCATCCACGTTTACCCGGTCTGCTGTTTACACAAATGTTTCATTGTGAGACACTGATGTGTTGCTTGGATTTGCTGCAGATGAAACCAAAGATATGACAAACAGCTCCAGCAGTGTCTCTATAGTCCTGATCAGAAGAATGTTCACGCTGAGGTTCAGAGGCAGCACAAAGATGGAGAGCACACCCACGGACCCTATCATTACATTCACCCACAGGCCGGGAAAACCCCACCGCCGCCGCCACCCAAACTGGCTCCTGAATTGTGAGTCCACTCGTCCCTCCGTGATAAATGTCAGAGGAACACCTCTCTTTGTCCTTTGGAGCTCATGTCCTCCCCACTCTGCAGACAAACACCCGGGGGAGATGAGGACAAAGTCTCCATGGTGATGCGCTAACATCTGCACAATGTTCCAGGAATATGCTCTGTGAACAGTGCAGCTGCTCTCTGTTTTCTCTGGGTCAACACATTGTGCCGACTCTGACACCGACATCCCACGGTTCACAGGCTTGGTGGGTGCAGAGCGGGCTGGAACGAGGCCTTGCCGGCAATTGTCACTGTTATTGTTGAGCCAGCGTTTTGTTTGATGCGTCTCGATACGTGCAGAGGCCAGGCGTCGCATGTGCAGGCTTGTGCTCGTGGTCAGGAGCAGCAGGAGAAGGTAGAGGAAGACCATGCCCCAGCACGGATTCACAGTGATGGGTATAGGACTGAGCAGGTTGGGTAAACAGCTGATGAGGGAGTTGGTTGTGTGCAAACAGGCAGCAGCCCACTCTTCCTGCAGCCTCCATCGCCACCTGACACTCAGGGCCACAACAACCCACACTGACAGGCAGCACAGGTAGCTGACAACATGTGACAACCCCTCATCTTTGTCTGGATTGTTCCTGTCCTCCCCCTCCTCCTCCTCCGCTACCTTTCCAGTATAACAACTCTGTCCATCATCGTCCACTGTTTGACTCTTGGCCCTGTGAGCGACGACGACAGAGTGAGGCCACAGCAGTCTGGTGAGAGTCTCCACAGCGATCAGAGGTGTGGTCAGGAGTAGCACTGCTCCATACGTGTGGCTGAGGAACAGCAGGAAACGCAAGGCAATGACATCACCCGGTGGGGTTGTTGGCGTCACCCAGGACCCGAAGACACAAAGAAAACTCAGAGACACTGTGAGAAAACAAAGTGTCAGCAGTTAGTTGTTTCTGGTTGAACCGGATTAGAGCAGTGTTTCCCAACCAGGGCTACAGGGTGCTCCATCTATTTATTACACATATAAAGTTTATATGGCCGAGTAAAAAAAAAGGTCATATATTGAAATAGCAGAGACTAAGATATCCCGACTATTAAGATAAACATTTCAAGCTTTTTGCTTGAAAATAACTTGCTGTCATTTTATTGCTGTTCGTCAGTTTGGCTTGTCACTGTATTTGTATCATAGCAATTTAAACATTTAGATAATTAAGTACCAAATAATGACAAAGGGGTATTTTAACATGTTAAAACACAATAAAATCAAACATCTTTAAGGGACTGATTTTTTAAGTGTGTACAATTTGGTGCAGATGCCAATAAATATCCAGAACTTGTGAATTTAAGTGTGGTTTCATAAGATAACTGTTCGGCCTTGGTGGAGGAATGTGCTGTCTTGAGGGTCATTGTTTTATTTATATCCAAACATTAAGTGTTAATTAACAACCATTCAGAGGCAGTGTTGGAAAGTTACTAATTACATTTCATACTTCTACTCCACTATTACTACATTTTGAGTGAAATACATTTTTAAACAGAAATAGTTATTTGTTACTTTAATTTTACACACAAGACATTGAATTAAATTATGACATATGATGCATTAGAGGCCCTGGATACCCACAATACAGGTGACATTGTTATGTACGTAGAGCTAGACATGCTGGAGTTAGATGGCATTTACATACGTTCTAATACATATGAACTAATCAGAATAATAAAGCTAAATATATCTAAAGGGACAAGATGATATCTTGTGCACACATATATTTACCTTTTGCATTAAAAAAAACACTTTTGAAACCTTGGAAATTTCTTAATGAGTGTGTTTATTTGAAGTTAATGTTAGTGGTTGTATTTCTGTAAATGCAGGACTGAGTAGTTTTACACTGTGATGCTACTACATTGAATGATCGTCACCTGCAACCAGGAAGTCGGTGAAGACCAGGAGGCAGCAGCAGCAGAAGCTGACAGGGCTGTAGGAGGCGTTCAGTGAGGGCACGAAGAGAAGACTGCAGGCCAGTTTACATACACACAACACCACTGCTCCCTCCAACACACCATCCATGACTAAAACAGAACAACACATGCACAAACACAGATAAACACACTGTCTGGAAAACTAGTTTTCTCTGTGCCTCAAGTGGAGGAGCTCCAGAATGCCAACGCCCCAACAATAGAAAATACAAATCTGTAGTTTCTGTGAAACTCACACAAACTTTTTACATTTTGATTCTGGTTAGAGTGAGTTTCTGTCTCGTGGTTGCAGATCAATATGTCATTGTGTACATGAGGAGTGAACCCTGGACTAGACAGCTGTTTACAGTTGATCACAAAAACGGGGAAACTCAGGAATTGTGCAATTAAACCTCTGAGTAATGTGAGCACACAGATCTGCAGCTGTGACCAGACTGTAAATACGTCCACCTCCTGACAATAATACTGAACAATCACAATGATTCAACCGGTATAAAACATTTCCTTAACCTCTATCACATGTTCATAGAAGAAAATTCAAACTACATGTGACAGAAAAACGTCACCTGCTGTGAAGTTTATGAGTTCTTACCTGTGCAGGCAGGAGCCGTCAGAGCAGCATGTCAATATGAGCTTCAGATGTCTCATCCGCTCCCTTCACCCCCACCCCACCCCCCTTTGCTCCACCCTCTTGGTGGGGGGATAATGACCCTGCCTCCTCCTCCCTCCTTCTGTGCTCCCTGCACCTGGCCAGTGTGGAAGTGAAAGAACCTGTGCACCTCAGAGGGTGTGGCAGTGTCTGTTCACTCAAGAGTGTGTGTGTGTTTGTGTGTTTGTGTGTGTGTGTGTGTGCTCTGTGTTACACTTTATGAAACTACTGAATGTTATTTCAAGGATTACAGAAAACACACATTGAGGGTGTTGCATGCAGCAGGATTAAACAGACAAACATTCTTTATCTTGATAGTCGATACAATACTTTAATGGAGTTAGTTTTCAGTTTTCTTAAATAACTTCAGATCCTCTTGAAATATTGCTTGTATTCATTTCTGCATCAAAATTAACATTAATAGCCAACGGGGAGTATTTGGACAGGTGGTGTTCCTTTTCAACATGGGACATTATTTATTCATACATTACTGGCTCATTAACTCTGCCCAAACTTGTCTTTCAAGACAGACCAGTGTACGAGAAAAAACCTTTGGGCAATAATACTTTCTCGTTGTTCAGAACAACTAAGTTTAATCTGACACCACAGGTCCATTTATCAGCTGCTCTGGAACTTTTGTTCACATCACTCTGTTTTAAGCTAACTTGGACAGGTAATATGGGAATTTCCACATTGTAACATTTATTTTGTAATAGTTTGTGATCTCCGACCAGGTGATGTGATGAAAAGATCCAGGGAAGGAAATAAATGGAACTTGAGTAACTGCATTGCCAATGTCATGGGTACATAATCACAGGTAACGAGAGCAGATACAGTGGATTACATTTATGTCTATATGTCAAAAACGGATACAGACACATACATTCACCAGTAGGATGTTTAATTTTATACTTTGAAGGGAAGTGCAGTTTTTATTGTAAGGAGGAGAATTGTTCTTTATAGGTTTTAAGCATTCAATAAACCCAATTTAATACAATGAGTAATGTCCATGCTCTATCTGATTTATCTCTCAGATTATTGGTTGTGGTCACATTTGGGTGATTTTGCATCCAACTGACTCTGACTCACGTCAAATATATGAGATGGAGTCCTGCAGAGTTTTGCATTTGTTATGATATGTAAACACACGTATTTGAATATTTGAACTAAGAAATATTTCAAACTCAACTCTATTGTTGTTGACAAATTATACAGTGCTGGGTTCTAATAAAGTACTTTGCTTAGTTCTAGAAGAACTACTTGTATTTTTAATCAGCAAATATCTGTACTTTCTAAAATTAGCACTGGCTTTTGAATAGTATTAAAACTAAAAAAGCACTGAATGTATTTCTAAAAGCAACTTACTAACTTTTACTCAAGTAGAAAAGTAAATGTGGTACTCTATTTATTTGTACTTTTACTATAATAAAAACAATTATGTACTTCCTTCAAAATTACTTTAAGTATTAAAAGTAAAAGTACTTGAAGTATATTCAAAAGTAAGAACTCAAAGGCAGAAAGTCAGTGTGGTATTTTCACTTTTCAGTACATGTCAGTTTATTTGTACTTTAAGCATACTTTAGAGCAAGTTGTATTAGGTTACAGTTAATTTAAAAGCAAAGTACTTAATTATTTCTATTCAAGTCAATGTGGAACTATTGCTTTAGTACATTTTCATCAATCTATTTGTACTTTTACTTAAGTAGAATGTTAGAGTACCGCCTGCACCACTGCCAAAAATACAATATTTTGAGACAACCTGTGATGCACATTATATACTGTGTGTTAAGTTCAACAGCAGTGTAAAAAGAAGTAAAGTAGAATCTCTAAAATTGCTTCAACCTCGTAAATAAAATTATTATCTGTCTTATTCTCAGCACCACGTGTGGCTGTTTTCACGTGTAAAGGAACAGTCCACCATGTTTTCATCTGCGGCTGAAGCTGTGACAGCAGTGCCATCTCCTGCTGAGCTCAGCACAGAGCACCTTCTCATCCTGCCACACTGCTGCTGCTGCTGCTGCTGCTGAGAGGATTACTCTTCATATCTACTGTACACCAGGGTCGTGACCTGGCTGTGAAACGCGCAGCTTGTCCACAGAGCTTGGATTAGATGACACCTGTGATGCAGAATATTAACCCCCCCTCCCCCTTCTTTCTTCTGTGTTATCTGTGCATGTTTATTACCAGTGGTGATGAGTGAGCCTCGCACATGCAATTATAGTTTAAAAAAAACTGACACTTAAGCTGGAGAACCGTGCGTAACCATGAACTTCCCCAGGCACATGCACGGATTCATGTGTCGCAGCAGCAGCAGCAGCAGCAGCTGCACGGACACATGCAGCCGCAGCAGCAGCAGTGTTCAAATCAGACAGAAAAACCACGAAATGGGTTAAAAAACCATCAGCTTCATCTCTGGTGTTGTTGTGCCGAACGGTTCCTCGCCTGCAGCACCCAGAAGTGAACAGCAGGCGACCCGGAAGGTTTGAAGTCCGACTGAGAGAGAACGAGCAGAAAGAAGAGACTAATCCATAATAATAATTTAAAAAAAAGAAATATCCCTCCTCTCGCTGCTTCAGGTATGTTGCTCCCTCTTCCTCCTCTCTCTCTCTCCCTTTCTTCTCCCTCTCTCCAGTGTCGACGTTTCTATTTCTAAGTCATGCAAAAGTTGCGTTTAAAAACAGCAGCATTTTTGGATGATTCTGCTTTCTTTTCTTCCGTGGAGCGAATAAAAGCTTCCATTACGCGCGGGGATTAACGTCGACGTCTGGGTTTGTGTTTCTCGGAGGCTGCGGAGCATTCAGCAGAGGCTTGGTGATTGTTGTAGGAAGTGTCAGGGTTTTTTTTCCCCCCCTCTCGTCTCTCCTCCTCCAGCCGGGCTATTCAAACCTGCAAATCAAAGTAAACAATCATTCGCAGGCTTTAATGCAAATATGCCTCGTCCATCCAGGGCGCGTCGCGGCGGCGCTGGATCCACACGTGGAGAATTTATCTGCTTATAATATTCAGATCTGCAGAATATGGCGTCCGGTGCTTATAAAAATAAGACTGGGGCTGCCATTTTTGTTTTCCTTTTGTCTGAAATTTTTTAATAAACTGTCTGAGAATGTGGGAGAGGCAGGCAGGCGGACAGGCGGACAGGAGGAGCGAGGCGCTGCGGAGGATCGTTTCTCTTCGTGGAGGAGATGTGTGTTCGCTTTTCAAGCTGCTCCGGGTTTTTTTTTTTTTCTTAAGATTTGAAGAGATCGGTTCCTGCTTCCTTTGAGGGAATGAGGAATAATTCAGGTACAAAGATGGAGAGAAAAAACTTGATACTAACTTTTGGTTTTTAGAGATGGAGGAGTAGGCCTGGGTCTCTCCAGAGTCCTCTTGTCTTTCACTGATGATGTTTGTTGCAGCTGCAATATTGAGATTTAAATGAGTTGTGTGTCACACTGTGATAACACTTGACCCTGACTAACCATTATTGTAGCTCCAACAAACCTTATAGAGATAGATCATCTACATATGTAATAACTGTCATTACACAATTAACAGCATGTAGATTTGTGGTTTATATTATCTCTGTACCACTGTCAGGTTCCCTTTACAAGAGTACATAAGATGTAAAAAAAAAAAAAAAGATTTAAATTATTTACTATTGCTTCTTTGATAAGTTAAGCAAAGTATAAATACGATTTTTTTGTTTGTTTCCAGGATGTTGATCCTTTCCATTTGGTAATGATTCTTCTCACAAGCCATTTCCAAGGGTGTCATATTCATATGATATAATATGATACAATTTGAAACAATGTGATACGATATACGTACAACGTGATACGATACAATACAGAGTGATATGATATGACATGATACACATCTGTTGTTCTAAAACTAATGAAGATACATAAACTGCATCTTTATAAACTAAGCTACACATTGGTGGTCGGTTTCTAGCCTCATTTGTAACCATACAGCAGCTGACAAAACCTAACCTCCAATTAAACCAAATTTAAATCTGCTTTGAGCAATCTATTGGTGGTTTATTTTATCATTTCCTGGGAAATAATAAAATTATGCAAGTCAAAAAAGTGGGGGGAAAAAACCTGGCTTCATCCATTGATCTGTATCCCACCAAGATTTAATGGCCCATACCACATCCTTCCACCAAGTTTTGTGGTAATCCATCGAGTTGTATTTGTGATTTCTTGCTTAGAAACAAACAAACGCGCAGCAGAAAACATATGTATAACATATCATGTCTTGTGGCATAAGTAATGGAGCTTAAGCCTTACCCTACATCAACAGAATTGCCAAAAATAACCCGCTGATTGTAAGGACTCTGTAACACATAAAATAGTGTATGTACAGCGATACATGGCTGCAAGTCTAGGTGCCTCGTTGCAACCATTAAGTGTTTTCTCTGTAAAATGTGTCATTTCTAAAAGTGACACAGGAGATGCCCTGCAGCAGTCAAACTCCTGAGCCTGCTCCCGAGAGTCACAAAGCCTCCAGGAAGTGAAACTGATCCCCACTGGCATCATTAGAGAAATATTCTGAGGGCTTTACTGTATGCTTGTACCCCTGGACGTATCGTTTTTGTTTGTCTTGGCTCGTAGACGTGGACTGTGTTATGCCTGTGCTAAGCCAAACAGACTTCGGAATGGTGAAGTACGCCAAAGCACGCAATGCAAAATGTTTAAAGAAGAAGAAAAAAGAACTTCATACAGGGAAACGAAAAAGAGAAACGATGGAAAGAAAGGCCTTCAGATCGCAACAGGAGCAGCAAGCAACTCTCTCTGCCTGAAAATTTAAAAGGCGTCTTTCTATGTGGTCAGTAGAAAAGCAACTGGATCGAGTATTGATCTTTAAAGATACAATGAAACGTCTGAAATTGACTTGACCTTGTGTACTTACATTATCTAAACATTTTTCAACAAGGTTCAAACTCAGATAAATTCTCAGTTTTATTAAAGGTAACAGGACTTTAAATTTTGGTTGTTTTTTAGTTGCATCACCTGTGGCCTTGCTTCCAGGCAAACAAAGGAAAGCAAAGAAATGACACTCTTTTTGCCAGTTAGCCTGTCTAGAGTCTCAACCCCAGATATAAAAAAGAAAACAGGCTGTGTCACTTACAAACAGATGTGCTTTCACTTCAACCCTGTCTAAGTTATCCAATATTCACCATTTCTAATTGGAATTACTGACCTCTCAGCTTTTGAGACATCACTCAGGTCTTTTCTTGCACTCTGCGGGGAGACTGTATTTCTGTATTTCGCTTTACCAGCGAGTCCTTGTGTGTGGAGGAGGAGGAGTTGACCAACAGCCACAGATTAGCATCTGCCACATCACTTCTCACACTTCTTTTTTCTCTGATAACCATTGTGAAGACTCCTCTAGCTCGCTGTTGGAACCTCGTGAGGGCCTGTCTCTCAGGCAGCATGGGGGAGAAAAAGGCCGCTGGACTCTGCATCACTTTAAAAAAAAAACTTTCTTGCTGACATCACTGAACATCTTGAGGAAAGCGTGAGGACACTACATCTCTTCTTGCACTTTTTGGCTAGGAGGAGACCCAATACAGAATGTCTTTGAAAATGCACCATCACAAGACCGGGACATGCTCTCTCAAATCATCACATCAAACAGTCAGCTGCTGCCTGGGCGGAGAGCCACTGACACAAGTTTCCAACTCTTGTTTTCTACACTGACAATAGGGCGACACATACATTTACAGAAAACGTTTAACCTGAGGTGAGACAAAAAGGTGACGGGACGTAAGATGAGTAGGATGTTAGGAAAAGAAATGTTTTGCTTTACAAGCTTGTTTTTCAAACTTTCCTCAATTCACTTTTTCAGTTTTTTTATTAAAAGGAGAGGCTGAGTGGTACGCTGATATTTTTTGTTTGTCTGATCCCTCATTTCAGGATGGCTGAACCACGCTTCAATAATCCATATTTCTGGCCTCCACCTTCTGCGATGTCTGGCCAGGTGAGTGATTCTGCTTTCCACACCTCTTTTTCAACAAACAGAGTTAAATTGAACTACAAATAATTGCTCTATGTGTAAAGGTTTATAGGAGTAGTTTGACATTTTTGGGAAATATGATCATCTGCATTCTGGACAAGGGTTTCGTTAAAAGACTGATGCCACTCTGTTTTACAGATTTTGTGATAACAATAGTCAGGTATATAACCTGTTACACTGCAATCTGTTTCCTCCTGTGTTTATGCTAAGCTAAGCTAATTGGTTAAGGGCTATATATTAACAATACTGATGTGACAGTGGTGTTGATCTTCTGATCTAACTCTGAGCAGGAAAGCAAATAAGTATAACATAAAGTAACTAAAGGCACTCAGTAGAGCACATACCTCCGCCAAGGCCCAACAGTCCCCTCACCTTCAATCAAGCTGACCAAATGTCACACACTCATAGATATCAGTCCCCTTGATATACTTGATTAGTGCCCATGAATCATTCCCTGCAAAAACTAACATTTGAAAAATGCCTATCTCTGTTATAGAAAACAAAAAACTGTGATTTGCCCCCTGATCCGTAACAAAATTGAGTTGTTTCCTCCCTGACCTGTACCACATCCCTCCACAAAGATCATTAGTAATCAGCTCAGTGGCTTTTGTGTAATATTGTTCACAAACAAACAAAAGTACAGTCCTTGGCGGAGGTAATATCATCATATCATCCTGTCCTTACAGTGGTTCCCAATTTGGGGATTAAGAGCAGATAAAGCATACGTTAATGACGTCATTAGATGATTAAAGAGATGTGTTAAAAGGATAGAAATTAGAGTTAAATACAATTTTATTAAAAATAACGATTTTCCTTTTTGGCTTCAAGAATTATGCTGGATGCTTTCCTTTCCTCTGATCTGTAAAAGTCCCTCAAATAAGTTGATTCACCTGAGTAGACATTACTTGATTTTAAAGAGTCACAAGCCCAAAAGGTTGTGAACCACTGGTGCAGCACATGTTGTTGATCCTCAGAGACATTCAGGGCAGGTTTTAGCAACTATGTCATGTGTCAGCCATTAGAGGGAACCATCGTGTCACAAACCGGCACTGACTGAACTGACCATGGCTGTTCTCTTGTCACGAATGCTGTTTCCTGGCTGTCAGCTGGATAACCTAGTCTTGATCAATAAAATCAAGGAGCAGCTGATGGCAGAGAAGATCAGACCGCCACATCTTCCCGCTGCCTCAGCACCTTCCCAACAGCCCCTGCTGAGTCCCCCCAGTCAGGTAGAAAGTGGCCAGCACGGGATGTCCAAATCCCATCAGATGCAAGTTCTTCACAGCCACAGCTCGTCTCAGCCTGACATCGCCCTGCACGCCCGACCGACCTCCAGCTCAGTCACAGGTACTCAAACTGGTTCCACGGTTTTCAGTACGGACTGTAAATAAAGATGGACAAAGTTCCCATCTTGCACATTTTGAGCTACAATCTGTGCAGTAGCCAGCAGGGGATGGAGCTGCCGCATCAAGGTTCCACCTACACACGCATTTGACCAATCAGTCTCATGACGTTTCACCCTGTTATCATATCATCAAAAAGCTAATTAAAGCCAAACTTACCAGAAAAATTATCATTTGAGCAATTATCAGTTTGATCTGCCTAAGATGACAGAAAACCTCTTTGGGAACAAAAGTTTGATGTGTACCTATTCTGCAGTCAGCCACAAGGGGGTTATCAAGGCATTTTGTATTCACCTTTTGGGATCCACCATCTTTATGTACAGTCTATGGTTTTTTACTGGTGTGCATGAGAGAAAGTGGAGCCAGAATGATGTCACACTTATGAATACTGAACATCTTATCTTTGATGCTTTGTTAATAGTCGTATGGAATTAATCTGGTAAACAGATAAATCTTCTTCACACCCATGCTGGGAGAATTCAGTCACATAAGTTGTTCAATATTTTAAGTATTTGTGTGTTTTCTCTAAACAAACATCTTTTGAATATCTCTACCAGGTCGTATTCTGGGGGACGTAAACTTGAATCTGGATGATAAGGCAGCTATAAAAGCCAGAGGATTATGGGAAGACTGGCATCTGCGCCAACTCATTGATCATCCGTCCAGGACAAACCACGTATCAGGTAACCACACAGCTTTCAGCGTGTCTACATGGAAGATAGGCACCCAGAGAAAACCCCTGCAGAGACTGGGAGAACACACTTAATACCTTCAATAAACTTCCTTTGCAACATATATTATATGAGTTTAATGTTTGGTGGAGACACACATGTGCTAGACAGTAATACTGATTTGCAGTTCAATTTTCTGTTAGTTGGGTCAGTTTAAACACTGATAACAGTTTCGAAAGGTGAAGTATTTATTTCTTCTGTTCCATGTTATGTATATGCAGACAGGCTGTATTAAAGAATTCAAATAGAGTGAATTTATAAATCAAATGCCATTTCAGACAGATTATCAGGTAAATAAATACTGTATATATGTACACACAAACACAGAACAACCAATATGTATTTTAAAACAGTATATCAGTGTTTTTCTATGAGGATTTACATTTGCATTTAAAAGCATCATTCTGGTTTATGATTCAAATCAGTGGATCAACATAGAACTTTCATAGAAAGATATATCACTACATATCTTTCTAAATCTTTTTAGGCACATTCAGTTAATAAAAATGTATTAAACATTTTCTCCTTCTTATCTGCATTTTTATGTCAATTTCGAGTCTTAAAAATGTAAAACCTCAGTGAAAAAGATTTTACAGTCACATCCATCTCTTCATTTTTGCAACAATCAGGTGTCGCGCTGGCATCCAGAACAGGCAACCTCAACACCTCAGAAATCATCACCCCCACTACGCCCACTTCAAGCAGCCACAGTCGGCTGGGCGGAGCTCCGACCCCTCACCTCATCTCAGGGTTAGCCAGTGGCCACGGGATGGAGCCTGGAAAAAACAACGGGGGTCTTGTCGGACTCCTCGGGCCCCCTCCAAAAGAGGAGCGAGGCCGTAAGAGGATCAAGGCAGAGAACGGGTCTTCGCTGTTGGTGGTGCCCTACCCGATCCTCGCCTCAGGCAACGACCAACCCTGTGTCACCATCACTGCCAAAGAGGGAAAGACCTACAGGTGAGGCAGGATGTTTTTTATGCAGCAGCTCTCACTCTGCAGTTATTCTGTGCTTCTTGTATAATGGTGGTGCTAGAGGGTAAATACAAAGTTAACTGGAGTCAAGATCCTCTGACTCATGTCTCACTGTTGTTTTTAGATCAGCGGTCAAACTCATTTTAGTTAAGGAGCCACATACTGCCCACTTTGATCTCAAGTGTGCCAGACCAGTAAAATCATAGCATAATAACGATAATATTTCTCTATGTTTAAATTATTGGTGAAGGTTTTTGGATGATAATTTTTTTTATTTTAAGGTCTTTCTACAATAAACTAGAAACAGAAAGACCAAAAACTCAGACATCAGCCCACAGTGTATCTGCCTGGCCTCTCCTCTGCAGATTCGAACGCTTCTGCCTCCGGAGCAGACATCGCATTTACGCTGTTTTTGAAGCAATTACTGGATCGATTAAAAAAATGACAAAACGTTTGTACTCATAAACATTCATATTCTTAAGAGACATTCTGATTCACAACCCTTGAAATTGAATACTGTGCTTCAGTTTGTCATGTCCACATGTGCATTACAACTTCAGATCACAGTTGATCTACAGAGCAAAACATTTAGTCACAAGTATTTAGAACTGAAAAATATTGTATTTGACTTTATAACAAAATAAACTTCTCAAGATCTAAAAAATATTTTAAATGTAAACTCTTCACTTGTTTTATAGTGCGACCCCCAGTGGACACATTAAGAATAGCAGCTACTTTTTTAGAAATGCAATTTATGTCTTTCTGTAATTTTCACACTTAGCAAAGTCATCCGTCCAAACTGGACCCCCTGGTGGGCCGGATCTGGCCCGCGGGCCGTATATTTGACACCTCTGTTTTAGATAGTTAAGAGCACGGAAGATTTCAAAGCTCCCTCTCTACTCTAATTGAAAAAAGTACTGTTTAAATATAGAGAATAAAATAGAATACACAGTAGAAAACACAGTGCATAATCATCAATCAAATGTATTAATTCATAACAGACTGTCAGCTCACCAAAACGTAAGAACAACCAAATACAGGTTTGACAATACAACACAATTGGAGTCCTGTATAACACACTTGTGAAAAAATAAATAATATAATAACATTTACTTGCTTTTCCTGGAGTTCAGAGTCTCACATGGAGGAAATAAAGGCCGAGATCTTTGGCTCAGGACACGTATGACTTTTGACAATCTACAAGTTTCTCTGTTGAGTTTCCTAATTATGACCCCGCCATGGAGGTTATGTTTTCACCCCTGTCTGTTTGTTGGTTGGTTTGTTTGTTTGTTAGCGATATTACACAAAATAACTGAACAGATATCCACAAAACGTGGATGCTTTATGGGTCAGGGAAGAAGAAATTAAATGTTGGTGCTAATCTGGATTTGGCGGTTAGTGGGGCAACTGGTTCTTCTACAAAATACACCACACTTCCTCTACTGGTGGAGTATGTTAAATCACTGGCTAAAATTAGATTCAAAAACATGTTGAACTCCTGCACACAAAAATGTTAGGTAAGGTAGAAGCTTTATCAGAATGTTCCTTTGAGAGTCACAACCATTCACACCTCACATTCACAACTAGTGGTTAAGATAAGAAAAGATAAGACAGACTTTCGAAATTTTCTTATTAAGCTAAGCTGCATGTCAGAAGAAGCCGGAGAAAACCCACGCAGAGACAAGGAGAGCATGCAAACCACACACGGAAAAACCCTGGTCAGTCAGTAGGTTTGATCCCAGGCGATAGTGCCACTGCACCACCGTGACACCATAATCAGCATTATCAAATTCTAAAAGTGAACATGAAAGTGATGTGCAAAGATGAAGGAAAAACAAACCTTTAAAGACTTAATCCAATAAAACGGTCAAAGAGTCAAATGTGTTTCATGAGCCACACTGCAATTATATTTGTGTAGCGTGAAATCATAACATACCTTATATCAAGGATCTTTACATGTTAGGGTCGAGACCTTAAAACCTTAGAGAAACCCAACAGTTCCCACAATGAGCAAGCACTCATTCTCAGCATGAATTACACTGTAAAGACATGATCTGCTTGTCTCTCTGCACTTTGTTAATGCATGTCTCCGCTCTGTGTCCTTGTTGCAGGTGTAAAATGTGTCCACTGACTTTCTTCTCCAAGTCAGACATGCAGATTCACTCTAAAACACACACAGAGGCAAAGGCTCACAAGTGTCCTCACTGCACCAAGTCCTTTGCGAACGCGTCCTACCTGGCCCAGCACCTGCGCATACACCTGGGTGTCAAACCTTACCGCTGCTCCTACTGTGAGAAATGTTTCCGCCAGCTCTCCCACCTGCAGCAGCACACCAGGTCAGACGTGGGAATAAATCCTCATGTTCATGAGGTTTTATTCAAAAGTAAATAAAATCTCCATTAAAATATTGAGCTGAGCTGGATTAGGATTGAAGTCAAGATGATGGTCTTTCTTTTTTAATCCATTCAGTAGAGCAGTCACATCAGTTCCAGTTGTTACAAAGCATAAATATTTTTTTGCAAAGGATGTTGGTTTTGTTTTGATGTAATAATCCACAGGTCTCATGAACCGTTGAACCAAAGACGTTTTTATGAAAACTACTCACAGTTTGATCTGTGAACTTTGCAAATGGGACTCAGGAGATAATGTCATATCACTTTACTTTTTGTAAAAAATAATACTGAAGACATTGAGCACATTTTTGTCTGTATATGTCCAAGAGCCTTTTGGGAAGACATGTTTGATAACTGTTAAAATATCTCCCATTGCTTCATATAAACAGCTTTTAACATATCACATGTAAAACAACACGATTAGATTGCGATTCTCTTGTGCTTACTTAGTCATAGTAATTCAAAGGCATTTGATTCTCCTGTCTATCCTGTTCCAGTTGGATGATGTTTGTGTTATTGTTCCAGAATCCACACAGGAGACCGACCATACAAATGCGCACATCCAGGATGTGAAAAAGCTTTTACTCAGCTCTCTAATCTTCAGGTAAACATCCAGTAATTTTCTCCTCCAGCTGTTTTACCACCAATATCCTCCACTGATTGAATGAATTTTGTGAGGCAACAACTTTGACAATGCTGTGAAAGTGACTCAGTCAATGTGTTCTCTGTTTTTCTTGCTGAAGTCTCACCAGAGGCAGCACAACAAAGACAAACCCTTCAAATGCTCCAACTGTTACCGTGCCTATTCAGACTCCGCCTCGCTGCAGATCCACCTGTCTGCGCACGCCATCAAAAACGCCAAGGCCTACTGCTGCAGCATGTGCGGCAGGGCATACACCTCAGTGAGTTGCAGATCCAAATCGAGCTTACTTTTAAGAAATGAAGTTATTGCCGCAGTGACGCTTGAAAGTGTGATCATCTCTTTGTCTTTCTTCTCCAGGAGACATATCTTATGAAGCACCTTGCTAAGCATACAGTGGTGGAACATGTGATGTCCCACCACTCGCCTCACCACAGGACAGATTCACCCACCCTCCCTATACGGATATCCCTCATCTGATCTCCTTGCACGTCTCCTTCCTGAGATATTTCAGCATTCCTCTGACGGACTTGAACCCACTCATGGGTTCTAAAAATGTGCCAGATTGTACTCGTATCTTGTGAAGAGGTGCGCTTTCAATGAGCATATCCTCCTTTCCGTTCTTGCTGACCAGATAGTATTATTGGGGACATCCAAAGATGACTTCTCAGCACTTTCAGGCCTGGAAATCACCGGCCCAAAATGTCTTTTTCTATACTACAGAAAAGTGTTTTTGCTCTTGGCAGCTACATGGAAAATCTTTTTAAACTTTCTGCGTTATAACAGATAACTTTGTCTTTTTTATACGGTCCTTTATTTTCTTTACTCAAGTCTTTACAAAAAAGAAAAAAAGGTAATTGCATCAGAAATAGTCTTCCGTTAGCCCGGTGACCAACTGAAAATAAAGATGACTGCTTATATGATGTGTATTCATGGACTGTATATTGTGCCACTTCTTGTCAATGTTTGCAATACCTCACAATCACGTGGCCATAATAAACACATAAATAACATGTTAACATTTATTTTCAGTCATTTTCACCCTGTTTTCATCTTTACCAAAATGTGCAATTCATAAATGAGATGGATGGGTGTTTTTATTAGCATGTATAATCTTCAGTGTTAGGAAAATATGCTAAAGGAAGACACAAGTATTCAGTGTAATATGGCTGAGTTAGATAGGGTCTAAATTATAAGCACATTTATAAAATGTTTCATGTAAGACACAAAAAATTAAACAGAAATTTTAATTAGTTCAGTTCTTGTGTAATAATAGGTCAGAACTCCTGAAGTTGTAACAATTTCTAGTTAAATTCACAACAATGAATGATGCACTTACACTACTTCTGTCTGCTTTGTGCAAATAAATAAATGTGACTTTAAGACTGAAATGTTACACCTCCACTCTGCTGCTGCCACATGAATAAACATCAGTAATGAGGTTCCGCTGTGGGGTTTTCAGCTATAATGTTTTATCGAGGCATCAACTCTATTTGAATAATATTTTTTTGTCGTTTTATAAACAAACACTTTGCCATTTTATGCGTTTAAGCCTTAACTTTGTTACAACTCTTAGGATCCACTCAGTTGTTTTATCATTTTACATTTGCCTTTTATATCATAGCATGATATACACTGTAAATAAACTATATATTAAATGTCAGCCCGTTTTATAATAAATCATTCAATAATAACAGATATTGGTGCAAGTCTTTCTTCAGTTTTCCGTGTAAATATTTCTACATACTTTTTCCCAAATCCATAAAAGGTCACTGACCTTTGACCACTTCATCTGAAAATCCTAGTCCAATTGACAACTGATAAAAAGATGAACTCTCACAGATGAAATCTCACATTCAAGAGGCCAAAAACATGTTTTTTGAAACTGTTACCTTGACTGTTGAGTTTCCTCTGTCACTCCTTGTCTGTCATTAGGCCTCAGATCCTCCTTATCTGCAACATGATGGAACAGATGGAATGATCACTGACCAGATCTGGTTTTCCTCTAGACTGGACTTGTTGGGATTCCTATCGAATTAGAATCAATCAGTTGACGTGTTGTAGCCCATTCACTACAAATGATAATTCACATCCCTGCTAATGTCTTTGCTAACCCATGCTGTGATGGGGTTGTTTGATTTCCAAGCAGCCACTGGTTTCCATTGGCTTCCACTTAGCAGACACCTGAAACTTGCTTCAGATGTATAATTCATCAGCATTATGTTATCGTTCTGAAGAAACATAGTGTTGACTATTTATCTAAATCTGCACTTACAATGCATTACCAAGGAAATAAATCAATGGCTGTTGAAATGAAGGAGCTGTTCTCTGTCTACTGATTGAAACTGTAAACAATCTGAGAAATATAATGAAAGACATTTAAAAATCTGAAAATCTACATAATACACTGAGGAGCTAAAACTTGCAAAATGGTTAAATACTTTAGATATAATATGTAAACATTCTTCATTAAAAAGTGTCTAAAGACGATTAGACCCATGTTATTTATTTTGTGTACTTACATTATCAAAAAGGTTCTAATTCTAATCAAGGTAACAAGACGTTTCCTCTTGTAACTGTCATGTTTTTTGAAACTGTTACCTTGACCAATTTGAGGAATGGAATCTAATCAGTTAATCAGTGAGTCGAAGTGAGTCATAGCAGATGTAATGAAATTCAATACAGGCAGTTTATAATGTCACATTCACTGTGATCTTGACCTTTGACCTCCAAGCACCAAAATCTAACCAGTTCATCGTTGAGTCCAACTGAAAGTTTGTGCCAAGTTTGAAGAGATTCCCTTAAAGGGACAGTGATAAATGAAAATCCACTCATTATCTACTCACCACTATGCCAATAGAGGGAGTGAGTGAAGTGTTTGAGTCCACAAAACACTTATGGAGTTTCAGTGGTAAACAGTGTTGCAGTAAAATCAATTGAATACAATTGAAAAAAGTGGTGACCACTTCTCCAAACATAAAAAGCCATAAAATGCCTCCATACTAATCCTGTGGTGTCATCCAAGTATCTGTAAGACCCAAAGTTCCGACAAGTTCTTGCTGGTCCTGTCTTGCACCCTCTGGGTAAGAGCCCAGAGGCGAGAGCTTGTGCGGAGTGTCTGTGCAAACATGAATGTTTTGGTGCATTCAAACTAGTGTCAACTACTTGTAGGTGTTGTAGATAAAGTTCTGTACCTGGAGTGATGGAGTCACTCCAGGTAACTGATGAAAATCCACCTTCTTTCTCTGTAAACTACAGTTTTTATAACATTATAACTCGCCACATTTTAACATCCAACTTATAACAGATAATCACTGTGGTGCAACAGATGACATCAATCTTTTTGTGAAATGAAGCTTTCTTTCTCTTATTAATCCGTGTCCACTTGCTCCCTTTATCACTTTCCTGTCCCGCCCTCTGTCCTCCATCTCCTCTCTCTGCAGTTTCCTCTGTGTCACTCCTTGTCTGTCATTGGGCCTCAGGTCCTCCTTATCTGCAACATGATGGAACAGGCGGAATGATCAGGGACCAGATCTGGTTTTCCTCTAGACTGGACTTGTTGGGATTCCTTTCTCCTCAACCGTATCATTTATCTACATCTCAAAGATTCATGTTCACAGCAAAGCATTAAACATATAATAGTGAGTCACAAACAGGAAGGTATCAGTATCCACACAATCATGTGCATTTCTTTATTTTTCATTTTATCTTATCTGTCTGATGTGATGTGATGTGAGCATGCAGAAAATATCTCCTATCTATGCAAACATAAAATCCTTCTTCTAACCACTCATTCCAATGAGCATGAATCAGCAAACACTGGAAATTTACAGGAATTGAAAACCACCAATGGGATGAAAGATATTAAAACCAACTATTGAATTAGAACCAATCAACTGACGTCACTACAATGATAATTCACATCCCTGCTAATGTTTTTGCTAACCCATGTTGTGATGAGGTTGTTTGATTTCCAAGCAGCCACTGGTTTCCATTAGCTTCCACTTAGCAGACACCTGAAACTTGCTTCAGATGTATAATTCATCAGCATTATGTTATCGTTCTGAAGAAACATAGTGTTGACTATTTATCTAAATCTGCACTTACAATGCATTACCAAGGAAATAAATCAATGGCTGTTGAAATGAAGGAGCTGTTCTCTGTCTACTGATTGAAACTGTAAACAATCTGAGAAATATAATGAAAGATCTGAAAATCTACATAATACACTGAGGAGCTAAAACTTGCAAAATGGTTAAATACTTTAAATATAATATGTAAACATTCTTCATTAAAAAGTGTCTAAAGACGATTAGACCCATGTTATTTATTTTGTGTACTTACATTATCAAAAAGGTTCTAATTCTAATCAAGGTAACAAGACGTTTCCTTTTGGTCGCCTTTGATTACGTCATGTTAACTTTACCTGTAGGTTTCCTTGTCTTGGCTATAACTTGTGAGGCCAACGATGCATGATAAAGGAAAAACACACTGCAATGGTGTTGAATACAACAACTCCCATGATCCCATGCTGCCTCTCGACTTCATCAAACTCCAGGTTTTTTGTTATTGTTTTGACTGAAAGACCCCCAGTGGTTAAAGTGACACATTGTGCATTTATCTCTCACGCAATTACCAGACTCTGAATAATATGAGCATCTATTGTTGTTCAGATATTTTCCCAAGTGTAAGTAAAAGTACTAATTCACCAATGTAAACATGTAAACTGTAAAGGTCTATAAATATATAATTGGCAAAATATACTTAAAATAAACAGTATAAAAAGATGTCGCTCTAGAACTTCAGTATCCCTGACCTGAAACAAACTCCACAACTCCTCTGTCCCTTCATGATGTCCACAAGGTTATGGGAAGTGAAAGTGGGCCCACAGACTTCATTCTGCACTCAGGACATTTTACTTTATCTTGATATAGATGTGGAAGTTTGTTGCTACATTAAAGCTACATTTGTATATACTAAAGTTTAAATATGTGGTTTTTGCATAACAAACTTTCATTAGTCTCTTTAGTTTTTCTTCATGTTAAACTGGCAGCTTTGTTATTTTCATTTGTTCCTACCTCAGACAGGAAGCAAAACTTATGGTGCAGTGTCTCAACTTCCACTGCAAACTCACCGTGGCTGCGAAGCAAGTCACAGCTGAACAATTCAAAGTAGCAAACTGTTCACACGCAAACAAAGCATTAACACTTCCCGACACATAAACTAGTATTATTATAAACATAATGTCTAGGATTGGATTACATATTTCAATGAATCGTTGACTTCATCATCGTTCATCATAATCATTGAAGTCTCTTACTACAGATAAATGTGCCAATTTCTTAGACGAATTTTTGTTAGGAGAAAACGAAGTTCATGGCGTGTCAGTTCTCAGGTGGCCATGAGCCACACAGAGAGAGTCCTGCATGCATGCAAAGCATTTTATTCTAATTTAACTTTTCGAATTTGCACAGAAAGACTTGTGGGCGGAGGAGCCACTCCCATGTCGTTTGGCTAATCAAATTGAGGAGTGAAAACAGAGGTGTGGCACCTCACTTTGCTCCTCCAGGGTTATTGCACCTCTCTCGAAGTCAAGGAGTGATCCACTGCCCTGCGGATGTTTAGGAGCAGTCCGTTCAGCCTCTCTCAGGTGGGTTCACTCTCACGTTTTTCATCCTGCATCTGCAGCGAGGTGTTAAACGAATGTAGTTAAAGGTCAGGGGGAGATTTTAATCCTCATCCGGTGTTATGAGAAGCTCCATTTCTCGATATTTTTTAAACGGACACGTCGAGGAGATTATGATGGTGATTTCTGTCCTGAAAGTCAGAGAAGATTTTGTCGGATTCTTGGATGCGGCACGTGTTTCACTCTCAAACAGCTGGTTAACTATGTTACATGCTGCTTCCGCAAACGGTAAGAGGCTCTACTAGCTGTTCACTTTCAAGATGAGACAAAACAGTAGAATTCGCAAGGCTTACAACACAAAAGAAAATAACAGTCATACAAGTGCTGAACTTGCTTATGAAACTCATATGCTCAACCACTGGTCCTCAGAATGCAGAATTCAATTCACTGCATCATCATTATTACTGCAATGGAAAAAGACAATGATGAAATTTGATATAATGAAGCTAAACAAATGGTTGAAATGAGGTTTGGCTTCTTGAATTACAGTTTTCCTGAATTGCTAAAACACTAATTCCTGTTGTGTGAATCAATTGCTCAGTTGTCTAAACTCATTCACTGAATTGAGCATCATTTTGACAAAACCACAAACTATCTTCACCTAGTAAAACACTATCTGCAGATCTCAGTCCTTCCTTCTCTAAACACATTCTCATGCAATAAAACACAGTCGTCACTGTGATGCACTTGTGATGCATAATGGTAAAAACCAGTGGCAAAATATGAACACAAATGAAACACACGTGTCATCCATTTAACACAACGATTCAAAATTGATCACACTTGTTTCTCTTCATGTCATGACAACATGAAAACCAATATAAGCCAGTTCAGAGTGCAAGCAGGTTGCTCCTGCAAGCTCATGACAACAATGGATCAGAGACACAGAGGATGAGTGTGTGTAAGAGGAGGTAGAGGCGGAGGACAAGAAGGCAGAGGAAGACGAAGAGTGGCAATTTCTGATGGTGGTGCAGTACTGTAATATAACACTGTGTGCTGCTATAAGCAACCAGGGTGTTCTTCACCATCATGCCACTCAGGCCATATATTGTAACACCCAGCACCTTCTCACCTTTCTTGGGGCTCTTAGAGATGTGTTGTCTGCAAATGAGCAGCAGGAACATGAGATGATGGAGCGGCCTATTTATGTTATAATTTGGGACAATGTTAGTTTTCACCGCGCTGTCCAAGTCAGTCGGTTCGATATGAATCAGAATATCATTACAGTAACCTATACTTGCCACCGTACTCTCCCTTCCTCAATGCAATAGAGGAGTTTTTGTCCACTTGGAGATGGAAGGTGTACGAGCGACAGCCCTACACCAGGCTGACTGTAATCTTCTTGAGTCCATGGAACTAGCCTGTGATGACATTGGTGAGGAGATGTGTCAGGGCTGGGTACGGCACACTAGGGTTTTTTCCCGTTGTCTGGCAAGGGCAAATATAACGTATGATGTGGATGAAGTGCTGTGGCCTGACCCAGCCCAAAGACAGGATGACGCTCAATGAAGCTCAATGATCAACTGTGTAAAGTACTTTATTGTGACCAATAAACATTTCTCCATGAGCAACATGCCTTGACCACTGTGTTTTCAATTTTTTGGTGTAGTGTTTAATGACAGCTCAGCAGTTTTTCTATTTTGACTGATTCGTGCAAGATCTGACAACATTGTTCGGTTTTGAGCACATGTGAAACTATTTTGAGGCGATGGTGTGGTTTTGCAAAAAGAATCAGAGGTTTTGTGAATGTAGTTTGAGAAAAGAGTTTTGTGTTTAGAATTCTGAGAAAAGGACAGGAGGATTCAAAAAACGTGTTTTAACAATTGTGAAAAACTGTAAATCAAGCTCTGTGATCATTGCAGAGAAGAAACCAGAAACTGAGGCAGTAACATAAAATCAGAAACATTTTACTTTTGTGAATGTCCGACTAATCTATACTACATCATATTAGTTTGAAGTAAAACAGAGTATTTGTTTATTGAAATAAACACACAGACAGGTGAAAACATAACCTCCTTGGTGATGGTGAGGATGCAGTCTAGTCCACAATTATTTGGACAGTGACACAATTTTGCCCCAGTACACAAAAGTCTGCACTTCAATCACAGCTTGATCATTGTGTTTCAAATCCATTGTAGTGTTCAGAGGATACATTTAAAATTGTTTCACTGTCCAAATACTTATGGACCAGACTGTAATTAGTGCCCTAATTATGAGTGTGAATCTGAACTAAAGAGTTTGTACATATATATTTGAACTGAACTCTCTTCTCTCTTATGTCATTTCATCTACAGCTGCCTTCACTTTATTATTTGGCAAGAGGGAGATCGGTCAACTAAAGTTGGATGCCTGTGTTCGTCAAGAATGGGGTGGGTTTGACAGCTTTGTGTGCTCAGGAGCATTTCCCCCACTCGCTAAAGATTCATAATTTTGTCTGTCTCGTCTTTATTCCAGCAGATGTTCCCAGAGGTTAAAGGCTTGTTGGAAATGTGTGCTTTGCTTTCCGGTTGTGCTGTGTGTCCTGTACTTCAGTTCTCCATCTTTGAGGCGAGTACCAAAACTAATCAGAACAATTACATTTAGGAGACACTACATACACCCAGTCATCAGGTCATAGGGAACTCTTATGTAATGAAAACAGGAAAGCAGGCTGTTTTGATTATCTGTATTGATTTGAAAGTGAGAAGTGTCTGTTTTTTTCCACTCCATATACATAGAGAGGATGTGGTTGGGCTAGTTAACAAAAAAACCCTCTTTGCTGCTGCAACCACTGAGGCCAAAACATCTCAGCTGCTTCAATCTGGCTGCAGTAAAGGTGATATGGGCCAAACTTAAAAATCGAAGTTCACGTGAAATACATTTTTCTCAAGGATGGTGTATGTACATTCAGGTAGTTCTCATCACACTGGTGTATGTCCAAGTGTTCCGTCACGTTTGTCAGCTAAGACTGACTCATGATTGGTCGAGCATGTGTATTTATATGACCTCACTACCGCAGCTCCATCCCCTGATCACTATTCGGCAGACTCTGGCTCCAAATGCTCAAGATGGTGGCGTTTGTATCAGGAATATTTTGGTTTCATTTCTGGATAGTGGGAGTCAGTGGAAACACGTCGTCCATCTTTATGGGCGCAACGCAGTTTACCAGCACCTTCACGTGTCAGTTTGGATGTGATGTACCTAATAGTGTAGCTTAATTATTTTGCCCAATAACAAACAGTATAATATTTCAATTTTGTTGTGTTATTTTCTTCAACAGATTTTTTGCGACCTTCATGCCTGTTGAAAAATGTAAACTGGAGAGTTCTCGGGCTCTGCTTCAGGACAACAGCGTGGATGCTGGGCTCGACCTCATGTAAGACAATGAAGGCGTTTAGTTCTGCCACTGTCTCCTCGCAACTCAAACTCTGAGAACCATGATTTTATTTTATTTTGCCTTCAAATCGTTGATATTTCCAAATTGAGGTAAGACTAGCGGCTCAAACCTTGTGGATTATCTGGGTTATCATGGGGTTTAAATCTGTAGGGGATCTATCGGCAGAAACTGAATATAAAATAATCCTAGTGATGTTTTTTTTCCCGACTAAATTGAATGGCCCCTTTGTATTTAAATACTTTATTTATATAAGGTTTAACTTTGATTATTAGGTCATCGTACAGTTTGCTCGCTTTTAAATGGGATCCCACAGTACACAGGGAAGATCACCATAACTCACACTGCAAAGGTTAACCAGCTCTGTAGCAGGTTAAGATTAAAAAAAACAGCTGCACTATTGATTAATCTCCTGCCCTAAGGTTTTTTCTACAGTTTGTTTCAAAAAGAGGGTAATAACCTCAATAAGGTGAAATCACGCCATTATTTACAGAATGTGTCCTCACACCCTGAGGTTGAACAAACTGCCTGCAGAGCTCAGAGGAATGTTTTGTTTGCAGATCTTGGGAAGGATAACACTTCCTGGAAGTTGTTTCCTGAGCCTGACACAGTTTAAACTCTTATTTTCTGTTTCAGGACCAGACATGACGTGCAAACATGTACATACTGGAGAGCTCCCATCATCTGGGAGGGAATGTTTGACCCTCTTCTTTACGACATGATGCACCAGAGCGACGGCTCCTCTGTGGCTCTGACGGTGTTTGCTGTTGGCAGGTTTGTTTGCACATCAATGCTGTGATGAATTACTGAGCGCTGAGGTTAGTTTTGACAATGACTCTAGATCACAGGGGTTTCACTTAGGGACCAACAATAACTCCCTGTTTCAACAGGAGATGAATGCCTTGTTTTGAATCGCTTCCAAGCCATGTGACTCACTAAGTCCAAATCGTATAAGATATTATTGTCCTAGACAAATAAACCTCTTTTAATTGGTTTTAGCTCTTTGTTAATATCCATATTTTAAAAACATATGTATTTTTCCAAATGTTTTATAAATATTAATATTCATTTAGAACCAGGAAGCATTGGGGGTAAAAATACAATGTAGTATTTGTTTGGAGTCAGTGGGTCACCTTACATAGAAGCCATTAAAAACATTATTATGTTCTATTGAAACAGGGTTTCACTGATGGTCTGGAAGCAGAAACCCTGCGATCAGAGTAAATGTCTGTCAATATTCAACCCAAAACTAACTTCAAGTTAGTAACTTGCATTAATTAAGCATTGTCCTGTATTGACTTTTATCTAAGGTACCTGGATGCTTACCTCCCTGCCTTCCTGAACTCATCAGAGCATCACTTCATGCTGGGTTTGCCGGTGACGTATTACATATTCACAGACAAGCCGGAAAATGTGCCAGACATGAAGCTCCCTCCTCTGCGGAGCCTGAGGGTGATCAAAGTGGAGAAGCACTCGAGGTGGCAGGACATCTCTATGATGCGAATGAAGACTATATCAGATGTCATAGAGACAGATATTCGCCGCCGCTGCACGCACGTCTTCTGCTTTGACGTGGATCAGGTGTTCACCGGGAGATTTGGCTCGGAGGCTCTGGGTGATTCTGTGGCTCTGCTCCACGCCTACTACTACCGCCTCCCGAAGAGCTTTTACACCTACGACCGCAACCCAAAGTCCAAAGCCTACATGAAGACGGGGGATTTCTATTACCACGCTGCCATCTTTGGAGGCCTGTGTGAGAACGTGAAAGCATTAGCTAACGCCTGCTACCAGAGCATCATGGAGGATAAAGAGAATAATGTGGAGGCCTTGTGGCACGACGAGAGTCACCTAAACAAGTACCTGTGGCTTCACAAACCAAGCAGGGTGCTGTCCCCTGAGTACTGCTGGGACCCGCTAATCGGCCACAACAGTGACATAAAAGTCACGCGACTGGAGTGGGCGCCGAAGCAGTACAAGAAGCTCCGCGCACCTTAGGGGTTTCCAACACTCCAATACAAACCTCCCTGTTCTCTGATATCTGATAAACACACTCTGTTCTGCCAACAACTGGATTTCCTGTTGAGTGACAATCTCCCACCGACTGTCTGCCTTGTCAGAGAATCGTGTTTTTTTTCTTTAGTAGTTAGGTACATTTCTGCACATGATGCCCTTTACCATGTAAGTGTTGGAACAAAAATATTTTTGATGAATAAATGATGCAGTGGGCAACAGAGCAACTTGCACAGTTTTTATTTTTGCTCTTCGAGACAACACATTTGTAGAGTTAATGATAAGAGATGAACGTGTGATATAGTTCAGTTGTCACCAGAATCTCGTACAGAATGTCTGATCGTATCATATTTTAATGTGTTGTAAATTCATCAGTT